TTCTAGCCAAAGGTGCCATCAAGGTCGTCCCAGAAGTGCAACGAACCCTAGGCTTTTATTCAAAATATTTCCTCTTACCAAAGAGGGATGGCGGCTTCAGGGCCATTATAGATCTCTGGGATCTCAATTGGTACATTTGATGTCACAAGTTCCGAATGGTCACCCTACAATCTATCCTCCCATTGATTCCCTGAGCGGCATGGCTCGCCTCTGTCGATCTCCTGGACGCCTATTTTCATGTCACTATCCATCCACAACATCGAAGGTTCCTGTGTTTCGCTGTCGGCAATGCACACTATCAATATCGGGTCCTTCCGTTCGGACTCTGCACTGCCTTTAGGGTTTTTACCAAGATCCACACAGTCAAAGGCTTTAGCATAGTCAATGAAGCAGAAGTAGATATTTTTCTGGTACTCTCTTGCTTTCTCCATAATCCAGCGAATGTTGGCAATATGATCTCTCGTTCCTCTACCTCTTCGAAACCCAGCTTGTACTTCTGGTAGTTCTCTATCCACGTACTGTTGAAGCCTAGCTTGTAGGATCTTGAGCATGACCTTGCTAGCGTGTGATATGAGTGCAATTGTGCGATAGTTTGAACATTCCTTGGCATTGCCCTTCTTTGGGATTGGAATGTATACTGATCTTTTCCAATCCTGTGGCCACTGTTGCGTTTTCCAAATTTGCTGGCAAATGGAGTGCAGCACTTTAACAGCATCATCTTCTAAGACTTTGAATAGCTCAGCTGGAATACCATCACCTCCACTAGCTTTGTTGTTAGCAATGCTTTCTAAGGCCCATTTAACTTCACATTCCAGGATGTCTGGCTCAAGGTCAGTGATTATACCGTCGTGTTTGTCAAGGACATTGAGGTCTTTCTTGTATAGTTCTTCTGTGTATTCTTGCCATCTTTTCCTAATCTCTTCTGCTTCTGTTAGGTCCCTACCGTTTTTGTCCTTTATCATGGCCAGCTTTGCATGGAACGCTCCCTTGATTTCTCCAATTTTCTTGAAGAGATCTCTAGTCCTTCCCATTCTATTGTTTTCTTCTATTACTTTGCACTGTTCATTCAGGAAGGCCTCCTTATCTCTCCTTGCTGTTCTCTGGAAATCTGCGTTCAGTTGGGTAAATCTTTCCTTTTCGCCTTTGCCTTTCGCTTTCCTTCTTTCCTCTGCTATTTGTAAAGCCTCATCAGAAAGCCATTTTGCTTTCTTGCATTTCTTTTTCTTTGGTATGGTGGTGATTGCTGCCTCCTGTACGATGTCACGAACCTCTGTCCATAGTTCTTCAGGCACTCTATCTATCAAATCCAGACCCTTGAATCTATTCTTCACCTCTACTGTATATTCATCAGGGATGCGATCTAGGTCAAACCTGAATGGCCTCGTGGTTTTCCCAATTTTCTTCAGTTTAAGTCTGAATTTTGCAATGAGTAGCTCATGATCTGAACCACAGTCAGCTCCAGGTCTTGTTTTTACTGACTGGATAGAGCTTCTCCATCTTTGACTGCAAATTATATAGTCAATCTGATTTCGGTGTTGCCCATCTGGTGATGTCCATGTGTAGAGTCGCCTCTTAGGTTGTTGGAAAAGGGTGTTCGCTATGACCAGTGTGTTCTCTTGACAAAACTCTGTTAACCTTTGCCCTGCTTCATTTTGCTTTCCAAGGCCAAACTTGTCTGTTATTCCGGTTACCTTTTGACTTCCTACTTTAGCATTCCAGTCCCCTATGATGATGAGGACATCATTTTTTGGTGTTAGTTCTAGGAGGTGTTGTAGGTCTTCATAGAACCGGTCCACTTCAGCCTCTTCTGCATCAGTGGTTGGGGCATAGACTTGGATTACTGTGATGTTGAATGGTTTGCCTTGGAATCGGACCGAAATCATTCTGTCATTTTTGAGATTGTATCCCAGTACTGCCTTTTGCACTCTCTTGTTGACTATAAAGGCCACACCATTTTTTCTACGAGATTCCTGGCCACAGTAGTAGATATAATGGTCTTCTGAGTTAAATTCGCCCATTCCTGTCCACTTTAGTTCACTGATTCCTAGGATATCGATGTTCAGTCTTGCCATCTCATTTTTGACCATGTCAAGCTTACCTTGATTCATAGATCTTACATTCCAGGTTCCTATGCAGTATTGTTCTTTGCAGCATCGGACTTTCCTTTCACCATCAGACACATCCACAACTGAGCGTCCTTTCAGCTTTGGCCCAGCCGCTTCACTCTTTCTGGGGTTACTTGTACTTGCCCTCTGCTCTTCCTCAGTAGCATATTGGATACCTTCCGACCTGAGGGGCTCATCTTCCGGCGTCATATTTTTTAGCCTTTTGATACTGTCCATAGGGTTTTCTTGGCAAACATACTGGAGTGGGTTGCCATTACCTTCTCCAGGGGATCACTCTTGGTCAGAGTTCCCTGCTGTGGCCTGTCCGTCTTGGGTGGCCTTTCATGGCATAGCCCACAGCTTAATAGAACTACGCAAGCCCCCTCGCCACAACAAGGCAGTGATCCATGAGGGGGAGATAAAGCATAATACTGGACAAAAAAAGACTGCAATGGGCTATTCTGTAATAATCTTAAGGGTTTGGAACAGCAGGGTACAAATCTTGCAGACCAGTAAGAAATGATTCCACAGTGGTTGGGATCTGAAACCTTTTGATTTGGCCTTGATAACGCACACAGAAGATGGCAGGATATTTAATGTAATATTGCAGATAAAAATATCTCTTGCAAGACTTTGTGCTTTTGTAAATTGGTGCTGTTGCATTGATACTTCTTTGGGGGTAGTCTGGATAGAGCATGTTCTTATTTTTGTTAGGTCCCTAGCAAAGATCCTTTTTCTGTCTTGCAAGGTAGAGGAGATGATCTCTTATACTTGCTCTCAAGTTGACAGGAACTGGCTTATTTGTGTACACGAGAAATCTGATAAACCCATTCAATTTGCACTGGAAATCGGATGAAAGCTGCAAAAGCTCATGAAAAAAACTTTTCCATAAATTCCACCAGCTTTTGCAGGTCCATCTTATCTGGCTGTTCTGGAAGCCCTAGGACACAAAGGTTAAATTGACCTGAGATGTCCAGCTGGACAAAACATTATATGAAGCTGAGACCACTGTTTCATGAGTTATGGTTCGATCTCCCAGAACAGCTGTTTTGGACTCCATCTGTTGAATTCATGCACTGACAGACTCGATCGATCCCCCAAAGCTGTTGAATTGAATTGAATCGTTGATCGTCTTATCATTGGGAGAAAGTTGTTTTAGCTTTTCAGACTACTATTTTAACTGTGCAGATTGTTTTTCCAGCTGAAAACCATTGTTTTCAGCCATAATTACTTCTTGACCATCAGTAGCCAATGATTTGGTGGCGGTCTTTGTTTCTTTTCCTTTACAACTCATAGTTTTGAAAATATAAACCCATTTACCAGAAGAAATAATAACAAAGTAAAATACTAAAGTGAGAGTGAATAACCACAAAACCAAACAAAACAGGTCCAAATCAAAGCATGATGTGAGAAAGACACAGGAGCAGCACAGGGTTGCTTCTGATTAATCTGTCATCTTAACTGAAAGTCACTGCTGTAATACATTTAGGCTAAGTATCTCTGCTCTCTCCTATTCTCCTGTTACTTCACCTCCTTCTATGTAAAATAGCCTGAAATGGGATTATCTAGGTCCCATGCGACTGGCAGGTATGAGCTGATCATGGATTTTAGATGAAGGAGTTAGAAGCCTCAATGGTTACAGCAATAGCTGTTGACTGCATGCAGTTTTTATTTCTCATAAACAACCAGGTGCATTACAAGCTTGTGTTTCTGTATCACTGTTATTCCAATTACCCACACCTGAAACTCTATCCATAGTCTTGAGCACTCCATCTCAAAATAAACATAACAAAGATGAAAGGATATGGATGAGCACTGTGAAGACTTACTAAGCCACAGAAAATCTTCTATACTAAGGCTCTGCTCATATTGTTCTGTAGAGAAGACAACTAGCTCATAGCGTAAACTCATCTATCTCATCAAATATCATTATAGTTTTGTTCATTTTAGGGTACCAGCTAGCTACAGCTAACATTTCTTAGCCTGCTACCGTTTTTTCAAGAACAGAATCTAATTAATTATTCTGTGTATGCCACCTGCTATTGGTGTTCATTAAATACTATAACATTATGGTTATTTGAAGCTCCCAAAGAATTTTGATTGACTGAAGTTTAGAAGTAGACTATTCATAGTTTTAAAACAGAAGTTAATTGGCATACTTAGCTAAAATCCTGTGTTGTAAAAATAGTTTAAAATTTATTGATCCCTGGGTTAAGGAGAAATTATAGAGAAGAAGAAGAAGAAGAAGAAGAAGAGATTGGATTTATACCCCGCCCTTCACTTGGAGTCTCAGAGCGGCTTACAAACTCCTTTCCCTTCCCCTCCCCACAACAGACACCCTGTGAGGTAGGTGGGGCTAAGAGAACTCTTGACAGAAACTGCTCTTTTTCAAGGACAGCTGTGCCAGAGTTATGGCTTGCCCAAGGTCATCCAGCCAGGTGCAAGTGGAGGAGTGGGGAATCAAACCCGGTTCTCCCAGATTAGAGTCCGCACACTTAACCACTACACCAGACTGGTGTATGTTAGATATGTTCTTACTCATTTTATCTTCTCACCAAATCTGCAGATTGGTGTGAAAGATAGCTAGCTGCCAAAAGTCAATAAGATATCACCGAGCGTGGCCTTGAAGCAGACTCTCTCACATCTAAACCTAGCACTGCATCTATAGCTCTACAGTATAACACACACTAACATAATGGATGTATATGTTAAATTTTATATGCATGGTATAATAATAATAATGTAGTATGAAATATACATGATAATGATGTATTCAAAAATCCCAATGTTGTATTTTGTTTGGGAGGTTTAATATTTAATAAGTCATTTTATTTTTTTAATACGACAAAATATTAGCATGCCATTATGCAATTAATCCATTACCATTTTTTCTAGTGCTCTTGGAGGATCTTCTGCTCTGCATATCCCTGCTTTTCCAGGTGGCGGCTGTCTCATTGATTATGTGCCCCAAGTGTGCCAACTGTTAACCAATAAGGTAAGTTACTTTTTCATACTGAGTAGTTTCAGGAAGGTGTAATTAAAATGAAGACCAAAATGTAAAAAGCTGATCAATTAATTTCATGATGCGAGACAAATTTTGGCTTGTGTTGAGTAGTAACATCCCATAGGTAAAGGCAAAGGTTCCCTTGCTCGAAAGCCAGTTGAATCCGACTCTAGGGTTGCAGTGCTCATCTCCGTTTCAAAGCCGAAGAGCCAGCGCTGTCCGAAGACGTTTCCGTGGTCATGTGGCCGGCATGACTAAACACCAAGGCGCACAGAACGCTGTTACCTTCCCACTGAAGTGGTACCTATTTATCTACTTGCAATTTCTTGCTTTCGAACTGCTAGGTTGGCTGGAGCTGGAACTAGAGACAGGAGCTCACCCCGTCTTGCGGCACCCGGGTCTTGAACTGCTGAACTACTGACCTTCCACAGCCTGCAGTTCAGCGTCTTAACCACTTCCCATACTGCATGGCAAAATGCTTTTTTTTTTTTTTACAATGCAAACCTAAGCAGATTGGCAACCTTGTACTTCAGTTGAAGTCAATGTGCTTAGGAGGCGGTAAGTTTGCTTAGGACTGCACTGCTAAAACCAATTTGTAATATGGGGGGGGGCTTCTTTTCAAAACAGAAACAGTAAAATTCCCATTGAATGCACACAAACCCTTGGGCGTGCCTAAAGTAGATTATTGGATTGTAGCCAGAATACTTTATTTTCCTACTGGCTACTAACACATGAAAAACAAGATAAACTATTCTGATGGAAGATACTAACAACAATTTTTGGAATTTGGTATCGGGAGGGTTTTCTCCTTGTTTAAAAAAACACAATGGTGATAAAATATCAAACCACATGACAGTGCCAGAACATGAATACATCAAGCTGCCTTATGCTGAATCCAACCATCAGTCCATCAAGGTCAGTATTGTCTACTCAGACTGGCAGCAGCTCTCCAAGGTCTTGGGCAGAGTTCTTTCACATCACATATTGCCTGGTCCTTTTTAACTGGAGATGCTGGGGACTGAACATGGGACCTTTTGTATGCCAAGCAGATGCTTGGCCCTCCCCTACTGCACAAAATAACCTTTGGTATAACAAGATCAGTCTACTATATCTAGAGTTTTACATGGTAGTTTCTACATTTTCTGCTATGAAACGAAGAAAAATTGTGTTTCTCTGGGGTTTTTCTATTCAAGCATATCCAAAACAAGTGAATAATTTTCTTTAGTGGAAAAAAAATCTGACTTTTGTCATTATTACAGTGCTGTATGATTCATGAATTGTAACAAGAGAGCATAAAGATATAACATTTATGAAGTGTTATAAAGATATAACATTTATGAAGTGAATATTTGCATTGAGGCCAGAATTCAAAAGTCCCATGTATAGATGGAGGGTTATCAGTCTAACCTTCTGGAGATAGTTCATACTACATAATGGAATGCCACTCAGATGGGCCCCTTAACCTTTGGAGCAGTTGAGGGAAGAAGTTTCCAGAAGGAGCTGCTGAAAAGATGGCCTTCTAGATTCCAGCCTTTGTAGCATTAAAAACCCTCAATAGTCCAAATTTGTGCTCTATTCTAATTTAAATTGTTTTTGTTTCACAGAAGTATATGCATTACTTTTATAAAATATTCTTTCAAATCTATTTCTAAAATAATACTGGAAGTAATCTTTAAAGTTCTTTTGTTGTGGCTCACTAGTTGAAGTTGCTTTCATTTTTAAAATATTCAAATATGCAAAGCTGCATTTAAAAAAAACTTGCTTAAAATGGTTTATCATCTGTGCTTTTTCTATTCCCAGAGTAATATTTTAGATCCCACATAAAGCGTTCAAAATAAGCATTTCTTCATAAATTGAAATAAGTCCAATTTTATAAATAGAATTATTTTATTTCAAGAGGGTGTAACATAGCTCTAAGCACTGATTGTATCATGGTTATTTCAAGTAATTTAGTGCAGCTGTTTGCCAACCAAGGTAATCCAACATTAACACAGCCAATACAAACAATGTGAATAAGTTATTTTCTTTCAATCAGTGTGAGGCGTAGAAAGTAAGTTGCTATTCTGTTAGATTAATGGGAGATTTTGTGAGGAGTGACATGGTGCAGAATATCAGTAGCAGCTTAACACTGCAGTAGCGTCATCTTTTGAGACATTGTGCTGGCATTGTAATTAGCATTGTCTAGCCTAAGCACTCGTAGATTGGCATAGTATGTCTCAGTGTTGTGCAATAGGTATATCATTGCGTTTTTCATAACAAAAATGTGTTGATTTCTTATGCAAATTCACTTGGATGGATATTAATCTGTTGTGAAGAAATACATGAATTTGGTTTTTTTCCCTTTATTATTAAGCTCATATGACCAAAGGTCTTGAGTGTAAAACCAATACATCAAAACAGAGCAAAACAGACAAACCAACATAATAAAACATGACAGAACAAGCAAGAAGACAAAGTACCAAATCAATAAAATACATGTATCTCATAAAAGATCTAAAACATACTGGAGGATAAGATATAATAGTGGACTTGTACAATTTCTCATAAAAGTCAGCAAGATAGTATTCATTTTAGCAGCATTTTAAGGAGGTCACTATTGTCAAATATATTGTCAATTTTTTTGAGTTATTTCTGGATCAAGATCTGCTAACAATAAAGATATGCCACAGGACTCACCAGGGAGCTGATATCTAGACTAGAGGTGTGCATTTTTTTAAATCCAGTATTTTTTGGTTTAGGTCTATTGGACCCAGAAGAAAGTCCACTATTTCCGGAATATCCCAATACTGGTATTTGGATCCAGGATTTTTGGAAATCCTGATTTTTTTAGGGTCCAATAGACTCAAGAAGAAAGATACCAGTGTTGGTTTTTTATTTTTTATTTTAAAAAGATAGCCCGATCTTGGGGCTGGCTTGGCCTCTCCTGCAGCCTGGTTTAAACCGTGCTGGGAGATCGTTCTCCATGGGGTGCAGATGTTGGCTGGACTGGCTTCTCCTGGGAGCATGGTTTAAACCAGGCTGCAGGAGAAGCCAGCCCCAAGCTGAGCAGGCGGGAACAGTCTGCTCCCCCGGCACAGCTGCTCCTCTGGCTGGCTTCTGCAGTCCCTTTAAACTTTAAAGGGACTGCAGTAGAAGCCCAACAAACAGCTGAGAGGCGGGAGCAATCTGTTCCTACCTTTCTGCTGGTTTTGGATCTATCGGTAATATCCAAATCTATCTGTGATCCCCCCCACCCAGTTTTCCCAAGAAAACCCAGATTGGGATGCCAAAATTTACCTGAAAATACCAGTAAGGTATTTTCTGGGTATATTTTCAGTTCAGGTAGATCCCCTAATCTGGACTAAATCCAAAGAGTCCATTAATCACAAAATAGCAGAAGATGATCTGCACTGTCTAATGCACCAGGTACACAATCACAGAAAAGATCTGAAAATAGAATTTTAACAAAGTGTCAGTTCGGCAGTCAGCTGGGCATTCAATTTGGCGAGCATAAAAGCACACCTATGGCTAGGGTTGTAAGAAGTTTCAAATATGAGAGAACAGTCAGATGGGGCAGAATCCCTAGTGCAGAAATGGAGCATACACAAAATGGATTTGTTGTGCTTCAAATACCAGATATAGGCTTGGATCCATCAGAGTGTTTCCACAGATGGAAGGATTTTCATGTGCAGATCATGACTTTATTTTCTATTGCTGTAGCCCCAAATCTCCCTGAAATATTGCTTCTGGGGTTCATTCATGAAACATTTTGAGCTACAGCAGAGGGCAAGAAAGTCAGTGCTCCATGGATGGAAATCTTTCCATCTGCAGAGACACTCCAGTGGATGTAACCCATGTTCTACAACTTGTATATGTGTGTGTTTAATCTACAGATTCTAGTTGGTAATTTGGGTCTAAAAAGGATATTCCAGAATAAGAGAGAAAATCAGTATTAAGATAGAGCACCGTAACCACTTTATTGGATACTATCAATCTGTTCCATTGATGTTGACAAGTTCCTTAGTACAGAAGGTCTTCTGATGCTGCAGGAGGCTTTTCTGCCATTGGAGAGAGAAACTATACCCAGTCGTTCCACCAGAGACACACGTCATAAGAACAGACTGAAGGAATCCAACCCTGTATTGTTAATCTAGGCTGCAATCACACACACTAAATAATCCACTTTCAATCCACTTTCGAATTGGATTTTGCCAGTTCACACAGTAAAAATCCAGTTAGAAAGTGCATTGAAAATAGATTGAAAGTAGATTATTTGGGGTGTGTGACCGCAGCCATAGTGTGAACAGGGTTTCCAAGTCACATTCAAAAATGAACTTTAAGCATCTCATTATTCATCATGTATTCATTTGTTTCTTCTTTTCTTTCTTTAACAGGTGCAGTATATTATTCAGGGTTACCATAAAAGAAGAGAGTATATTGCAGCATTTCTTAGTCACTTTGGAACGTAAGTCTTCTTCCATCACTTTTTAATGGAGTATGACTAACATTTATAAAAATTCACTAGGTAGCTATCCTGCAACATAAACCAAGTTATATTTACTCAGAATATATCCTGCTGATTTCAGTGGGGCTGTTGTAAATGTCTATGCCTAGGATTGCAGCCCTAGTCAGCAAGAAGGAAATTAAGTTTGTCCTTCTTTGTAAGCTGTTTGCTAGTATTGCTGTTGGCATCCGCAGGAAAATTTAGTTGGAATTCAGCTTGGAGTACACCACATTTATTATGCATCACTTCTGGCAGGTTCATTCAGTTCCTTTAGTTCCCACAAAGTAATCCAAAATAATATATTCCTTTATAAAATAATTACATTAAAAAGTGAGCAAGCAGTGGTTAAGAAAAGTCAGTGTATGAATAAATTTCCCCCATCCAGAAGTATCTATTTAACAGGTACTCATTGTTTTGGTTACTGATATGCGCTGATTTTGTACTAAATACACTGGCTTGCCTGGCAAGAAACTCTTCATTTTCTTATTAACACAGTACTGTCTTAACTTGAGAAGATGTATTAACATAGATAGCCAGAACTGTATTTTTATTTGCCGGAAAGTGTAACATGTTGGAAGCAAGATGTGTTATGGCAATAAAATGTACAGATATATTTCCAGATGTGAAGTGGAATTTGTGAAGAAATCGATCATATTTTTAACCTCACTTTTCCCCCAAGGAGCTCTGGGTGACCTACATCATGCTCCCCCTTTCATTTTATCCTTCCAGCAACCCTATGAGGAAGGTTAAACTGAGAATGTGTGACTCAAGACCTATGAAGTTCCCTTCATAGCAGAGTGGGGAATTGAAACAAGTCCGTCCCCAGTCTTTGTCTAACATTGTAATCACTACGTCATGCTAAATGTCTGTCCATCCAGCCATCCAATGTTTCAAAAACTCTTAAGGTTGGGATATCCCTCTAGACCCCACTGCATCATGCTAGCATTCACTACAGAAATGTCTGTCCATCCAGCCATCTGATGTTTCAAAAACTCTAAGGTTGGGATATCCCTCTAGACCCCACAGTGAAGTTTGTGATTGTGTAAATGATTGTTAGACCTATGGCAAAACTTGGACTACTGCAGACATTTTGACTGGGAGTCATTCCACTCCATCTCTTTATGTATAGAGTGTCTTGTTGTTATCTAAGATCTAAAAAATGGCTCTATTTAATGATCCAAATACTGTTTTTTGCAAAGGTCAGATATTATTCTTGACCACTGTCAGTGTGTGTGTTTATGTGTGTGTGAGAGAGAGAGGCGAAGAGAGAGAGAAGTGGGATAAAGTAACTAGAAGCACTGTATTGATCTGTGTTTGGATAGAACATGAGAACTGATAAAATAATTAACATAATCCATCTCCTCCTATGTGAGCAGTTATCAGAATTGTATTTGCTGGAGTAGAATATAATGGGTATTCGAGTAGATTGTGCACTCAGGTTGCTGGGACACTGTTTACTATTTGTAAGAGGTGCCATTACAGTTGTAGGCTGGCCATGTTGCTGAAAGTTTGGCACTATTTGTGCCTAGTTGAGACTAATGGGCAAAAGGCTAAATTATGCCGTATGATAATTCTCTAGTGCATTCATGGGAGAGCATGGATTATAGTGCTTGATTTCTGCTCTTATTCTGGTCTGTTGATGTGCTTCAGTTTTAATGATAAATAGTTTGAACCTTTTTATTTCCTGTTTACATAGTGGTGTGGTAGAATATGATGCTGAAGGTTTCACAAAGCTCACCCTGTTGCTGATGTGGAAAGATTTTTGCTTCCTTGTTCACAGTGAGTAGTTATTTGCCTTGGGCACAAATGTCTACCTTCTTGAAGGCTGAAACATTCAAAAGGGGGAAAACACAATTACAGGAGCCTTTTAAAGGTTTGGGCTATTTTTACTCTACGTTAATGTATTTTTGATGTAACCTTCACACTTGCAAAATCCTACCTGCAATCTGAAAAAGAGGAGATTTGTGTAAATTAGCAACATTATTTTGGTCTTTAAAACCAGCCCTATGCTCCAAGAACTTGTGGGAAGATTACAGTTTGATATAAAAACATACTTATGCCATAGGGTTGCCAGCCTCCAGGTGGGGCCTGGGGATCTCCCGCTTTTACCACTGATCCCCAGCCAACAGAGATCAGCTCCCCTGGAGAAAATGGCAGCTTTGAAGGGTGGACTCTATGGCATTGTACCATGCTGAGGCCCCTCCCCTCCCCAAACCACGCCCTCTCCTGGCTCCACCCCCAAAGTCTCCAGGTATTTTCCAACCCAGACTTGGCAACCCTATTGTGCCATCAAGTTGCAGCCAACTTATGGCAACCCCTAGGGGTTTCAAGGCAAGTGATTAAGCAAAAGTGGTTTGCCATTGCCTTCTTCTGCAAAGTCTTCCTTGGTGATCTCCCATCCACATACTGACTCAGCTTACTTCTGTGATCTGACCAGATTGGGATACCATTCCGCATCCTAAACACATGAAACTGCCTTTGGTCCATCAAAATCAGTATTGTCTACTCAGACTGGCAGGGGCTCAGGCAGAGGTCTTTCACATCACCTACTGCCAGATCTTTTAACTGGAGATACTGGGGATTGAACCTGGAACCTTCTGCATGCCAAGCAGATTCTCTACCACTGAACCACAGCCCCCCCCCAACATACTGGGCACTGAGCTACCCAGCCATACTACCATGGTTGCTTTCCAAGTGCTTGTGAAACCATTCTGGTCATTTGTACCACTCCTCAGTGTGAGAGTTAGTAGGGGGCTAGCACAATGGTATCTCCTATCAAGAATAGCATCACCCATATGTTTATCTAAGAATTCGAAAGTATTCTTTAGGCTCTTTAATATGTAAGTAGTTAGTGTCCACGTCCCTGCTCATTCATCCTCTAAGGATATACTTTCAAGGTTTGTGCCATAGGTGGTTTCCTCTCTTCTTGGCTTCCTTACAGTTTTTACAGTGATTATCATGTGACTTGTAAACTTGGCACAGAATTTTACTAGTTATTTGACTGGGTCTAAAGATGCCCTTGCACAAGCAGAAGGCACTTTCTGTCATGCAAGGAATGGTGCACTATTTCCACAGACTTCCCATTCAAGATGTGCCTCCCCCGCACTGCATTCCACGTTATCTCTGAGGCACCACAGCCCTCAGGAACATCTTCACAGGAGACTGCTACTAGATGGGGGGGGGGCAAAACGATGTGTTCTGCAAGCAGAGCTTCCATTCACAGTTCTTAGGATCCAACCCATTGTCTATCTAATTACAACAACACAAAGAAACAGTGAAACATTGTTGTTCAAAATAGGTTTACACAGCCCATCACATTTCTAATTCAGAATGCTATGCACTAGGCTGGACAGATAAGCATCTGTCTTTTTGTTTTTCATATGAGTAAATGGATTTTAATGGTGCCATGAGATAAGTGAAAGTAAGGTATATAGTGAAAATGGAACCATGGAGCAGACCAGTCAGATGTTCTTTTTGTGTTATAAAGTGCAATGAATTCCTTTAAGTTGCCTGAAACAGTCTTCATTTTAATGTATGAGAAGCTAAGATAATAAGAAAAAAGCCAGAATTAGTATGCATACCTTAACTAGCTACTACTGATACTCTCCATCCTTGAATCCATTTTAAAATCTCCTAATGTTATCAAGCAGTCTATGTATCTATACAGTTCTTTATTGTAGGAGCTAATTTATAGGTCATGGTTCATCATGTAGGATCTTTTCCCCCATGTCTTTTGCATTGAATTCCATCTGCCTTTTAGTTGTACATTCTTTCTAACTTCTGAGATTTCCCTTACTCTATATTTTTCCCTAAGCTATATTTTTGCCTCATCGATGCTGCATATGATCAGAGGCTTTCTTCCTCCTGTTTTTACTACCATTCTTAATGAACATAAGAACATAAGAGAAGCCAATGTTGGAGCAGGCCAGTGGCCCATTCAGTCCAACAATCTGTCATACAGTGGCCATTAAAAGGGGTAATTTTTCTGATATGAGGGGACATGTGGGGAGGAAACTGAAGGGAAAAGTAGAAAGGGTCAAAACCATTGGGGAAGCTTGGAAACTGTTTAAAACTACAATTCTAGAAGCTCAAATAAAATATATTCCGCAGGTTAGGAAAGGCACAAACAGGTATAAGAAAAGGCCTGCATAGTTAACAAACAAAGTAATGGAAGCTGTAAAAGGTAAGAAGGATTCCTTTAAGTGGTGGAAAGCTAGTCTCAGTGAGGTTGATAAAAGGGAACACAGGCTGTGGCAAATAAAATGCAAGTCTGTGATCAGGCAGGCCAAACCGACAGGAGATGAAAAGTCTCTGGTTCGGGTTGGCTCATCTCAGAGAGATGAGGGGGTACCTGTTGCTTTTCTACAGGGAGGTGGATTGAAATTGTCCACTGAGACCATGGCTAGTGACATGGACTGCCTGACAAGGTCTCGAGATTGCAAGAGGAAGGTGGCAGGCTTAACCAGTATGGGAAATTACAGCTGTTTCTATACAAATGCTCGAAGTGTCCGAGGTAAAATCGGGGAGTTGGAGTGCTTGGTGTCAGAGGGAAAAATAGACATTGTGGGTATTTCAGAAACTTGGTGGGATGAGGAAAATCAGTGGGATACGGTGATTCCCGGTTATATATTATATCGGAAGGATAGGGGGGGAAGGGTTGGAGGTGGGGTGGCTCTGTATGTCAGAGAGGGTATAAAGTCCAGAAAGATCGAGAGGCTAAGAGAATTGGATTCGCTTCTTGAAGTTCTGTGGGTTGAAATAGGGGGGCCAAAAGGAAACTTAACACTGGGAGTTTGTTATCGCCCACCGGATCAAAAGATAGAGGAGGATTATAAAATGATGAATGAATTAAAGATAGCAGCTAGACAAAAACACTGTGTCGTAATAGGTGATTTTAACTACCCACACATTGATTGGGTCAATATGTGTTCTAGTCGAGAGAAAGAGATTGAGTTTCTAGACACTCTAAATGACTGTGCTATGGAGCAGATGGTCATGGAACCTACCAGGGGAGAGGCGATCCTTGATTTGGTCCTAAGTAACACTCAAGACCTGGTGAGAGATGTAAAAGTGATTGCACCGCTTGGGAACAGTGATCATAATGTTGTTGAGTTCAACATTTGTACAAATAGGGAATTGGCCAAAAAGACTCACACAACCACTTTTAACTTTAAAAGGGGTAATTTTTCTGATATGAGGGGACATGTGGGGAGGAAACTGAAGGGAAAAGTAGAAAGGGTCAAAACCATTGGGGAAGCTTGGAAACTGTTTAAAACTACAATTCTAGAAGCTCAAATAAAATATATTCCGCAGGTTAGGAAAGGCACAAACAGGTATAAGAAAAAGCCTACATGGTTAACAAACAAAGTAATGGAAGCTGTAAAAGGTAAAAAGGATTCCTTTAAGCGGTGGAAAGCTAGTCACAGTGAGGCTGATAAAACAGAACACAGGCTATGGCAAATAAAATGCAAGTCTGTGGTCAGGCATGCAAAAAGGGAATATGAGGAGCATATAGCAAAAAATGTAAAGACCAACAATAAAACTTTCTTCAAATACATTAGAAGCAGGAAACCAGCCAGGGAGGCAGTGGGGCCCTTGGATGACCAAGGGGTAAAAGGAGTACTGAAGGATGATGGGGAAATGGCTGAGAAGTTAAATGCATTTTTTTCCTCTGTCTTCACTGTGGAAGATGAGAAGTGCTTGCCCACTCCAGAACCGCTGATTTCGGGAGGGGTGTTGAAATACCTGAGTCAGATTGAGGTGACAAGAGAGGAGGTCCTATGACTGATAGACAACTTGTTCCTATTACTTTTACAAATACTGGCTCAAAATTGACCTTTTATCTTAAACTTCTATTTATTTCAGATAGGAATATTACTGTCAGACAAGTTTGCACTAAGGAGACCTTCCCATAAGTTACTAATTATTATAGAGAAAGTCAATCTATCTTCTTATCACTCCTCTTATAGTAGTTTTCACCATAAATACAGTTTTTTCCACAGTTCATTACTTCCAACAACTATTTTACCTACATAAACCAATTATTTCATAATTTCCTATCTATATTTCTACAAATCACATCTTCCAATTCCATCAATCACCATATAACTTTACCTAATTTTTACATTCTACATAACTAAAGCAAATTACAGAATATATTTATATCATATTTCCATCAAATTAATAATTAAGAAGGGGAAATTAAAGTAAGAAAAAGGAACCACCCAAAAAATAAAATAAAATATAAGCTTATACTTTAAGCAAATGTCTTGGAATTTAAAATAATTATCAATTGATAACATATAAATTTACGAAGAAGAAATCAAATAGGAAAAACAGTTCATTTATCGTTGTCTTAATATACCGACAGTTATTAATCCCATTATCCCTTAACACATGCACCAAAAAAGACAGAAAAGCATCTCATACTCCATTTATATATCTTAAATTTTTCCTAAAAATCTGTGATTTTTCTCTTTCCACTATCGAAACCCTAATATGACCACAGTCTTATTTCCTTATTCTCATTTTCCATTTACACAAATGCCCAAAGAAAACAAGAATGCATTACAGTCCCTATTTATATATCTTTAATTTTTTTTATACAAATATAAAAAGAAAGCAAGAATGCATTACAATCTCCATTTATATATCTTTAATTTTTTGTAGGAGTCTATGATTTTTTTTGCACAACCATTTCCAGATGTCTTATCTTTGTATGCTCTCATTTCAATACTTCTCCCTTTAAATTTCCACCATCTCGTTTTCACATTCTTATTACCACTAA